TCTTACAGCGAATAACCACCTTTTCTTCTGTCTTTGAAGCGTCTTATGAATGTGCACGTAACTCAAGGAATTTTTAGTCAGCCGTACAGTAGAACACAAAGGTCGGTTTCCTGTGTTCAGATCACAACCCACATCGGTTTCGATCTTTACAAAATGAATTGGAATTTCGGATTTTGTAGAGATTTTGATTCATTTTAAAGTAGACCGCTGTAAGTCAGAGAATGACTGGACAGCCGTTTCTTCCTCATTTCTCACTCTTCAACAGGGATAGGACTAAAGCTCATCAGTCCAGTTATGAGACAACCCCGTGGATGACATAATCCCGTGAATCCTAATCCCTGTCATTTCGCTATATAATATCACCGCCAACTAATGCTACGGATGAGCATCTCCTTCACATGCTACCTAGATGATCCAACAGGTAACAACTTCTCATTAGGTCTTTAGGAAATCCTTTTCAGTAATGCTTGGGGGTAGTGTTATATCTCTAGTTGACACAAGTGAAAATTCACCGGAAAACGGATCAGCAGTCTCAATTCATAACTTAAACTCTGTGCTAAAACTCGTACAAAGGTCAAAATATCAGTTTGCAAACTAAAAGTTACGTAGATAAAATACGGCGCATATACAACTGATTCATTGGGATACGTATAAGCTGTTGAATTTGTGTCATTTAGACGCTATACACTCCAAGTTGAAAAAGCTTAGTGATAAGATATAAAGTGGATTTATTGTCATCCCTGAAATTCAAAAGATTTGTACAAAAACCATTAACTTCACGTAGACTTTCGCCAAAATATTAAGGAAACTGAAGAACCTGGAGAAACTAGAGGACACTAAGCATCAGTTCAGTTCTGATTTCAGACTTTTCACTTGTGGAGAATATTGCAAACTTGAATTTCATTCTATTTATGTGTATCCTCCTTCCAACATAAAATCAAAATGAAGCATTACAACAAATCTTAACACTTTTCCTGTGTACACATCCTACTACTACTATAATCCCATAGTTAGTAGTGTAAATTCTTCAAAGTAAAATATTTAGTAGTGGTGTTAAAAGGGTAGATGGTAAGAGGTAACCAACAGGAGGCCAGTTGTGACTCCAAAGAGCTCGGACTGTAGCGGCAGTTGATATGAGAATGATTACCTGGAGGGATATAAGTTCCTTCAAGATTTTTCAAAAGAATGGTTACTGAATAAACAATATTCTTTTCAATAATACCTTATTCATCCGGTTCTACAGTTATATATCCATGCATAATAGGGAATGAATTAGTGTTATTAAAAACATTAATGTCGTTTAAATAACATCGAATCAATAATGATGATAAAAATGGATTATAGTTACATAGCTTCAACATACAATACACAGAATATCAGAGAAATTAGGAAAAATAATAATACAAATTCATGAATTTGTAGTCTCCACTGAAGGTCGGCCAGGGTAGTAGTAGTAGTAGTGGCTCGAATTGCTCCTCTTTCACACAAAGCACTGGTTGTTTCAGGTGAGTCTCGATAGCCTCTGCTGTTTGGAGAATTCGATACCTGGATGCTTCTAGCAATTTATTTGGTAGCCGATAGATTATGATACAGAAGGATTCGTCAATGCTGGCTGGCTTTGTGGCCAGTTTGGACCAGGTGGTCTAATATCGAACTGTTGATGACGGTTTTCACTACACCTTTACTTAGCCACACTGGTAGATGTTCCCGAGCACGAAAAACCAAGTGGCCAGATTGATAGCCAATATAATTCGCTACACAAGCTCAGTTGAACTGGCAGATACAATTAGAAGTGGCTACTCTAGGTACTTCATCTATCAATCGAGGAATCACCACCGGTCGTGCATTCTATCTGCTGATCTTTCCTGGTCGTCTCATATCTTGATGATTTCTAATAAAATATTCCCTCTTACCTTCTACATTAAGAAGTTAAGACATTCTGGTATAACCCAACCCTTACTCTTACAATTCGTTAATTCTCGCATCCTGCCTATTATTCTCTATTGTTCCCCCTTAGTTTTTCCCGCCCGGGCTACTGAAAAAAGACTACAACATATTACGCAGGATGTTAAAGGTTGTCAGCAGGGTAAGCAACGTGCCACTTAACCAGCTTGTTAATATTCTGGTTGACAGGCATATGGACTAATGTGAAAAATGAGCTAAATCCATTTTCATGCAACCGGTTCCCTTTATTAGTTTGAAGAGAGAAAGAACGAACATATTTGCAGGATAATACGAGCTCGTTTTATTTCGTGGATTCTCATCAACTGCATACATCCTAAACAAAATCAAATTATAGGTTTCAAGAAAGTTGTGGAACATACTTTTTCATAAATACTTTGAGTTATAGATAGAAGGCATAAGGAACATAATTCCAGAATTTGATGTAGGTAGACAGATTATTCGGTGTCAAAAAACAACTAATTATATATAGTGGAATTGGATAAGAGGGGTAAGAGTTCAGATTTCTATTGGAAAACAACACAGATTGGTTAGAGGAATATTACAGGGTCAGGGTCAGAGAACAGTCTGCCGGTAGATTGACGGGGTGGCTATGGGTTCACCTCTGGATCCTGTTCTTGCTGACATATTCATGGCTCATCTTGAACAGACTCAAATGAAAGAAGAAATAGAAAGAACCACCTATTACTGCAGATATGTCGACGACACGTTTGTGGTCTGCAATGATATAGAACACGCGTCCACAATGTTTGAGAAACTCAACGCGGCCCATCCCAACATCGCATTCACAATTGACTACGGAAGAAACAACCAGTTCCATTTCCTAGATGTCAACATAAAAAGAAGAAACGATGGGACAATCCAAAAATCTGTCTACAGGAAAGAAACTTGGACTGGTCAATACCTACATTATCATAGCTTCTGCCCAACCAGTTACAAACGATGTCTAGTAAAAACGCTCTTCAGCAGAGCCAAAGAAATATGTTCAGAAGACAAGATTGAAGAGGAACTTGAGATCATCGAAAAGAACCTTATCGAGAATGGATATCCTCGAAAGTTCATATTAAAATATAGAAATGAGGAAGTACACAAACCGAAACCCGACACCGTTGAAAAGAAACCAGTTTTCATCTGTCTAGCGTACAAAGGGGAAGACGTATCTACAAGAACACAAAAAAGAATCACAGGTGCATTGAAAAGAACGTTCCCAGCCGCCAGACTGATCCTACTTCACAACACTGTGTGCTCGTTAACCCAGTCAAAAGTAGATGAGTTCCCTACTCACGTCAACTCCAACTGCATTTACCAATTCACGTGCACCTGCGGTAGCAAGTACATAGGAAGGACTGAGAGGACAGCATCTACTAGATTTTCCGAGCACATTCCTAAGAGTCTCCGTACAAAAGGAAGAAAAGTGTTAACAAGTGCAATCGCCAGACATCTAATTGACACAGGACACACAGTAGAAATCAGCCAAGCCTTCAAAATAATCAATACACAAAGAAACCCACGGCTACTTCGCTTCGCAGAAGCCATTACTATCAAGAGATTTCGACCAGACCTTTGTATACAGAAAGATAGTGTGATTAATCTTTCACTACCTTGGTAACCCTAACTCTATTTTATTTTGTTTTTGTTTTGCCTTTCTGTCAGTATGCCTGTGTGTTTGTCTTGTTACGTAACATTCTATTCAATTTTGACCTTCAAGTTTCTAAATCTACTTAATTGTTTGTGTGTTTAAGTTATAAATGTTACTTCACTATTCACCCCCACCCTCTTAAACTCTCCACCACAAGATGTGTAAATTTACTTTGTTCTCTGACCCTGACCCTGTAATATTCCTCTAACCAATCTGTGTTGTTTTCCAATAGAAATCTGAACTCTTACCCCTCTTATCCAATTCCACTATATATAATTAGTTGTTTTTTGACACCGAATAATCTGTCTACCTATATCAAATTCTGGAATTATGTTCCTTATGCCTTCTATCTATAACTCAAAGTATTTATGAAAAAGTATGTTCCACAACTTTCTTGAAACCTATAATTTGATTTTGTTTAGGATGTATGCAGTTGATGAGAATCCACGAAATAAAACGAGCTCGTATTATCCTGCAAATATGTTCGTTCTTTCTCTCTTCAAATTAAATCCATTTTATCTAAATCACACCTACCTCTTCATTCACATCTCTCCCCTTGCATCTCATCAGGTAAAACCAGGAGCCTATATACAAAACTATATGCTCGCACCAGCCAGTACAAAAACTCAACCATACCCCACTTAGTTCGTGTTCTGTGCCATAAAGAAAGCATTGGGCGTGATACCTATAACTTATTAAATAGTCAGTAAAACAACTGGATCTCGTCTTTCCAACTCATATCATTTATAGGTACAACGTTTTCTTTCTTTCTTTTCCTTTTCTCTTTTTTTCTGTTATGTGCTGCTTTGTTTCTCTCTTCCTTACAAACTCTATTTAAAACATTCTTCTTCGTTCTTTCACACTCCATATATCTCGACCTTTTTGTTATCAAATACGCCAGTAAATATGACAGCACCTACTTTTCCAACACCTTCAAACACTGTTCAGCTTTGGCTTTGCTACCGACATCCCAATATGTTGTTATCATAATGAACTGAGATTTCCTTAATCTATGTAGAATTCTATTTATTGATAATGTACTAACTGGATGCAATACTGTAGTAAAAATGCTGAGAATTCCATTCTGTATCACAAGTGCTGTTTTGGAATAAAGCAAATTATCATTATTATTATTATAAACACCCTTTTGGTGAGGGCCAACATGCACTAAACTATCAGCTGCTTCAAACAATCAAACATCAATACGTATTTCACTATGATGACAGGTGATCTAGATTTGGGATCACATGGGCTGAAATCTGACTGATAGAATTTAGTCGGCACAGTCACTCAAGGGGGGACTAGATGCATTACACTAGTTACAACATCTCCCCTCCCCTAATGAAACCAGTCATTGTGAAATCATAAGATCTAATCAATAAAATGAAATCATACTTACCATGATATATTTGGTAAATGTTGTAAACTTGGTCGTGGAATGATTTTAGAAATATCAGCGGTTCCAATACTTTTCCAGTGATCACGTAAAGCCACAATGCAGGATTTAATTGTACGCTTAACACTGAATAGAATATTTAGGTGTGCGAGGGAGTGTGTGTGTATGTGTTGACAGGAAAAGAAGAAAAATAAATGATAAAATTACTGATCCTTAGAAATTTAACACACTAAATTTGTCATTCTGACAATAGGTGAAACAAGACATTATTATTATTTATTATTGTATCCTTTAATTCCTACAGGAACATAGGGCTTCAGCCATGCGTCTCTATTGCGTTCGATTCTCTGATAGAGTCTTCACCTGGCTCCAAGTTTTCCCACACGCTTTCATCTCCTCTTCACATGACCTCCTCCAAGTCACCCACCATCGCACTGACGACCAACTCGCTGCTTCTCATTCAGTCGGGTTCCACTCGAGCAATGGCTTGTCTAGTGATGTCACTTGATGCATTGTTTCCTCAGAGTATGGCCAGCCAATCCATCTCCATTTCTTCCTGCCTATTTGTTTCACAATCGGTTCCTGCTATGTTGGTTCGCTCCAAGAGATCCCTCTCTGTTGCTGATCTTTTCTGGCTGGCCATCTCATCTTGAGTAATGAGCGAAGACAACTGTTAATGAAGGTCTGTGGTTTGTTTGAGATGCTCTTCATGACGCGCAGTGCAAGTCTCTGATCCATCCGTATAGTAGCACTGACTGACTCAACATTGGAGTTGAAAATCTGGATCTTATTTTTGATGCTGAGTGCTGTTGACCTCCACACAGACTTGAGAGTAATGAAAGCTTGTCTTGCTTCCCCGATCATCGCTGCTTTGATATCCTCGTCCGTTCCATCTGACTGTAATTGAAACGATGCTTCCCAGGTAGGTAGGTAAAAAAGGTTGTTTCTTTCAGGTTCCTTCCATTTATGCTGATTGTTGTCAGTTGTTGTTGTTGCTGTTGGTGGTGTTGGCCAGGAATCTTCATCGCCTGTGTTTTCTCCATGTTCACCTGAATTCCTATCTTCAGGTAAAACAAGACATGAGAGTAACTATTGAGGTTTAGCTAAATTTGAACTTCCCGTTGACTGATTATGTTGGACTGGGATATCAGGTCTCTGTTGCGATGTCACCTGCAAGTATGGAAGCTCCAGTGTTGACTGAAGATTAAGATGATGATCTATTTTGTCTTTTGAAATGATGGGTGCTGTATCTGACTTTCATTGGGGACATCATCACTCACTGGAGATGGAAGTACACTCAGATGATGAGTCCCGAAAACAAGGTGAAATCGCCACCATTGATTGCCCAACTAGTCACTATCAACTAACTGTAGCTTCGGTATTAATAATTTTATGTCTTTAGAGGTTTTTTCTATTATTCCATTCTAGGATTATAAGTTAGAAATCAATCTATGTTTTATAATCATAGTAATATTAGCTGTACTCTGGACAGTTCGGAATTTCGACCGCGTGGTTTTTATCCACTCCTTGTAAAGTAATCCACAGCAAATCATTCAAGGCAATATAATTCAATCTGAAACACTGTCCACCTAGCCTCGAACAGTTTTATCCCTCTAGAAATATACCTAACGGCTTACTAAAAGTCATTCAAGGGCATAATTAGATGATACAGAAAAAGTTAATTTAAGTCACTGAGATGCATTATACTCTATGGAGAATTCAATAACCCAGTGGTGTAAACAGTCCACGAAGTGACCGTCAGACAGTAATTTAAATATACTGAAGGATGCAAAAGATAAAATATGTAAGGTATGCTTTAAGATTCTTTCAATAAATGACAGACTCTAAGAATCCTGATAAATTCAGGATGAGTTACAGGATTTCATCATGAGCTGACATCGGTTAAAGAACCATTGGAAAACCAACTGGGAGTACTGCACACCTGTTTCGTCCTGTTTTGGGACTTTTCAGCACTACGCACCCACCAGGATTTCCAGTGGTTCTCTAACCAATGTCAGCTAATGATGGAGTCCTGTAACCAATCAGTTAAATCCCCATACAAACCAATACTTGAAAATTCGGGATAACTTTTAAAAGAACCGCCTAATTAGAGAACTATTTATCCAAACAAGTAATAAAGACAAAGTTTACAATCAACGTATTTAAGAATAACCCATAGTTGAATCAGAGATGGTGTTTTACAAAACATAATTTTTGACATGCCAATGAAAACTCTAGATGTTATTTTTCAGCATCGTTAAGAAAAATTCCCACAGTGATTCAGCCACTCTTGCTAATAAATCAAGAAAATGTCTCATAATGATAAGATGGATTAGATAAGCCTCAAATCATGTGAATTGAAAAGTTTAGTTTGAATAGTGTGAAATTAAAATTCCAAAGTGATTCCGGTACATAAATCCTATCCAGTTTCCAACATGATCTAAAGTTTCCATAATAAACTGATCACGAGCAGGCATATTTGTTATGCCTCTCTTCCAGATGCGCGCTTCAGTGGTGTGCGCGCGCTTTACTGTTACTGTCCAGCTGGCCATGAAAATGTTTATCGAAATGTAATAAGAAGAACAACAGTGAGCTGCTAAAATCTTAGGCTATCAAAAAGCTCAGTCATTATATTCCATATTAATTTCTCTTTTTTCACTTTGTTTCAATCGATTAAAATTGGACCTGTAATGGTGTAATTTACTCTTGTGAGCATCTAAAATGTGCACGACCTACTGACTGTCAAGTTTCTACTAAATATGAGAAAAAGCATAGTCTCATGGGCGGCAACGTATCCCACTGAATGACATAACTATTCCAGAGATTTTTATTAGAAAACTGACACTGACTGAGAAATAAAACCAAACTCGCTGTAGTCTTTAATTATTCACTGATGTCCATGGGTCTCAAAATGTGCTCCGGCACCTTTTTTAAATTGACTTTCAACCAAACCTTGTACATTTCTTGAACGAGACGAATAAAAACTATCACGAGAGATTGATTTAAGCTTCAGGCAAGGCAGCATTAGATGATATTAGATGGTTGGAGGCAATCGGCCAAAGGAAGCCTTGCTTGACCTAGGTTTCGTGCTAGTTGGTACTCATCAGCAAGGTGTATCTGCAACCTTAAGGGAACTCATGTCCCTTCTGGGACAGGAACCCTCGTCACTCAGTGCTGCAGTCAGAGACGTTACCATTGAGCTATTCAAATCAATGTGCACCGTGATGGCGAGATACCTAGTGGCATGGTGGCCACATTGCAAGCTTGACTGATAGAACTCAGTCTGTACCAAAGAAAGGACTCGACGCATAACACCACTTACTTACAAGTGTCCGATCAAAGACAGTATTAGGTTAAGCGATTTAATGTCAGTTATTAGTGTACTTAAAGATCCTCGAGGAATTTTGCTGAAAATTCTGTACATTGCATAAATACTGTCCAAAATAAAGCTTTTATTATTAAAATAAAAATAATTATAACAATATAATTAGTAATAATACTCATATAAACTAACTGTTACCTTGAACATGGTGGTCGAATCAATTGTAGGGGTGATAATGGATCGCCAAGTAATGCCTTTAAAACGTGTACTGTTCCTTCAGCTAAACTATCTACAAAATAGCCACCCTATTGTGACAGAAAAATAAACAAACAATTACAGAATGTGTCGGTAAAAATGAACTATCAATATTATTATTATTATTTCCTTTAATTTCTAGAGGAACATAGGGCTTCAGCCGTGTTTTTTCTTTCATTTCTCCGAGAGCTTCTCTACCCATGATGAGTTCCCTTCCTGTGTTGTCTGGTCCCAGTTTGGTGTTCATGTCTCCCATTAGTATTTTAATGTCACCAACTGGAGTATTGTCCATTGTTGCCTGTAGTTGTCTGTAAAACTCTTCTTTCTTCTCGAGATCTGCGTTGTTTGTTGGTGCATAGCATTGTATAATTGACACTTTCCTTCCTTTGGAGTTGAATCTAGCGGTTATTATCCTGGGCGAGATCGCCTCCCAATGCATCAGGGCCTTCGTTGCCGTTGGTGAAATCATGATAGCCACGCCCTCGGTGTGCGAGTGGTTATCTCCTGGGTGACCGGAGTAGACCACTGACTCTCCCGTTGACAATTTGGTGAGTCCATACCCGTTCCATCTGCTTTCACATATCCCCAGTACTTGAATTCTGTATTTTTTCATTACGTTTGCGATCTGGGCAGCTTTGCCAATCTCGTACATGGTGCGGACATTCCATGTCCCCATACAGACTTTTTCTTTTGGCGCAAAGAGATTCGTCGTGCTGAAGTTTCTGTAGCAACTTTGTTTACAGGGTGGGGTTGCTAGCCTCACGCCTGAGAAGGGGATTGTTACATTTAATTATAGTTTAGAGAGAAGCGACCTTGTGGGTTGCTCCCCTTAAAACCAAGAATCAATATTATTATTATTTATGTAACGAAATAAGCCAATTATTGAATTAGTTAAACGAAGAAATGAAAATAAGGGTCGCCACAGGTACCGAACAAGTGACTCCATAATTACTAATCCAACACTTTACCATCTAAATTACGATTTTCAACAACTAAGATGGTCATGTGTTCAGTATATACAACTGATCTATGAAAACATGACTATTTCTGACAATCAGTTGCTGCTGTCATTTATCAATTTAACTAGAAAAGCAGTTTGCGTAATTATTATTATTATTGTTTCCTTGGGTTCCTAGTGGAACATACGGCTTCAACTGCACGTCTCCACTTGCTTCTCTCTTCTGCTGTACTTCTCACCTGCATCCATGTTAGTCCATACTGTTTCAACTCCTCTTCACACGATCTCCTCCATGTCACCCTTGCACTGACGTCCCACTCGCCGCTTCCATTTCAGGTTCCACTCGAGCATTGGCCTGACGCGCGATGTCACCCAACGGCCACCTCAGCGAGTGTCCAATCCATCTCCACTTTCTCCTGCATATTTGTTGGGCAACTGGTTCCTGTTTTGTTTGTTCCAATAGTCTCTTGTTGGTGATTCTTTCCGGCCATCTGATCTAGAGTATAGAGCGAAGACAGTTAGTTGTTGATAAAGGTGTGCAACAGGCTGTTGGAAATATTCTTGGTGACACACTGGCCAAGTTTCTGATCCATCCGTATAGAAGAACTGACTGACTTCACGTTTGTATTGAAAATCCGAATCATTTTGTTGTTGATGCTGAGTTGAGTGACGAAGATTTCCAGATTGGTTTCAGGTTGATGAATGTGTTTCTCGCCTTCCCGATTCTCGATTTGACATCCTCTTCCGTTTCTCCTGTAGTTGAGACAATATTCCCTAGATAGGTGAAAGAAGTAACCTCTTTCAAATCCCTCCCGTTGATGGTGATTGGCGCTGAATGTTGCTGCTGTTTTTGTTGGTTGTTTATTTTCATAACCTCCGTCTTGCCTATGTTCAGTTTGTGTCTGACTCGTCTCCACTTTCTTCAGCATATTTTTTGAGCAGTGGATTATTGATTGGTTCATTCCTGGAGTTTCTTGGCACTAATTCTTTCTGACTCGGTTTAATAGCTCACCAGTTTTCCAGCTGGTCCTAAGCTTAGGGAGACAAGGGAAGGTTGGGTATGAGGGTAGCAACCCCACCCTGGAAAATCAATCCAATCTCTGTAGATAATTCGAAGCACGTCAAAAATATTGGCAACACTGGCAATTTTCTAAATAATACGGAGTTGTTAAGGTCAACAGAATTGCATTTCAAAAATTAAGAAGAACATTTACGCGAAAGTGTAGTTGAAACAACTACCAACAGCTTAGAGAAAAGGTGAAATTGTCAAATTTTAACAATCAAATAATAATCACCAAAGCACGAGAGAGATCCTGAAGGAACTACTTCTGAATTCAAAAGTTTAGCTTTTTCAATTGGATTCTGATAGCTTCAACTATTCGCAAAAGGTAAGCCCGTTAGAAAAAATTAAGATTACTTGGAATACACCTGTGTACATATAATTATAGAGAGAGATGAGGAAGTTATTAAAAAGAAATAATCTTTAACCAGACGTTTTCCATCCTCAAACTAGAACATCTGAAAATAAGAATATACACTGGAAATTTTGAAACCTAATCAAATAATCTAAAATAAACTGACTACTATCAGATATATGATGTTGTACTGTATGACCATTCAAATGAGGTAATTAAACCCCTGTGAAGAAACTTTGAAGAATAAATTTATACTACTTCCTAAAAATAAGTAGTTTGAAAATTTCATAAAATAAAAGGTTCGTCTTTTTCACTTAGGGGAAATGTTCTCAGTAGTAACTACAAATTATTTAGTGAAATGTTTTTTCACAATGGCAGGAAGAATACTCTACGATTCACCTTAAAATTATTATAATGTGATAGAAAAATGTGGATTTTTATGTGACAGGTTGTGTACGTTAGTAGTTGTGGATACACCAGGTATTTCATATATATACGTACAGACTTAGGGTTCACTGCAGAATCGTAGACAAATACTTATGATCCATTTCAGAAACTTTGGAGCAATATTCAGGTCCATTACAGAAACTTTGGGGCGGGTTTTGGACCTACTGCAGACTGATGCTGAAACTTAGGGGCAAACTATCCCACTTTCTTCAGAGTGTCCTGGGAATTTACCCAGAAATTCGCTCAGCAGACCCGAAGGAAATGTTGGCTGGGAAAGGCAGTGATGAATCCATATGATGATAAGATTAGCTAAGATGGTGTAGAGTTAACAGACTGCTATTGAAATAGTGGGTTACGACTGAAGGTAAATTGAAAATTTGGGTTTCAGCTGTGATTACAGTAAAATGGTAACCTGGTTTTCAGTTTGATTTCGCAACACCTAATTGGCATTTCTGCAGCAAATAGTCTGAATCCTGTCAAGAACTAAATCAATATGATTTAAATCCGAACTGTATCAGATTTCCTACATTGTCTTACAAATGAATAAGTGATGAATGCACAAGGAAATCGGGAAAGAAAATCCCAAAACTCTATCTAACCAGTGAGTTTCACTTAATCAGTAAACGCTTTGAAAACTGACATTTCTTAACAAAGAATTGACTTTAATATATGTGTAAAGCTTGGGCACTGTAGTGGTAATATGTAATTCCATATTAGTTTGTTTATTAGATGTATCACACAGTGAAAAAGTATTATATACTGGATGACGTTTCGAACACAATTTATTGTTCATAGACAGAAGACCAGTAGTTCAACGAAGAGTCTCTTTTCGACGGCGAATTCATTTTCATAGCTGTACAATCGCAAATATGCATATATGGTTGTTTTGTATGTGTGTGTGTACATTAAATTTGTCAAACGAAAATACAATTAGTAAGTTCAGATGAATTGGATGTTGATATAAGAGAGTGGTAGTTAAAAAAGTGATGAGTTGTCACAAACAATTGTTAAAGAAAAGTTACGTAATAACATGAATAGTTTAGTGAACGAGTTGTACTCAGGGTGAACATGGAAACAAAATAACATACGGAATTACACAAGGGTTTTGAGTAGAAAAATTAGCGTACAAACAAAAGTTAAATCAAATCAAACAAACAAACGAAGAAAAGTTAAGTCAAATCAACACAGTCGTTACCATGGGAGTAAAAGTGGTTGAATAATTTTCTTTTGTATGCACAGTTCTGGTTCCTCTAGCCTAATGGCCAGGGCTTCTGTGATGCCAAGAAGACGGAATCGTACTGTCTTTGGAAGGTTGTTCTTCACTTTGTAGATTACTTTGAAGGAGGAGGCGTTTGTTGAGATGGAATGACCAGTGTTGACGAGGTGTTCTATTATTGCACTCCTTATACGGCCACTACTTCCTTTCTGCAGCCACGCTGGATAGTGTTCTTTGACCCTTTTTGACAGGATACGTGTTGAACGACCGATGTACCTGGCTCCACAGCAACAGGTGAACTGATATTTACACATAGAATTGGTCAGGTGCGGGATCTTGTCTTTTGGGCTTCTGCAGATCAGCGGGCGACTAGAGAAGACTACTCTCAATGTTGCTGCAAAGAAAGTTCTTCTTAAAGAGGTGGAGATTCTCCTTCTAAGGACATCACTGAGTAGGTCACCTTTGAAGTCGAGGTTCATATAAAGTATCCTTTTTGGCACGGATGATGTCTCTTGCTTTTGGATTTTCTGTTTGATGTTTTTGTCTACGAATCTCGGTGGGTAAACGTTTTCTTTGAAGGTTTCTTTCAGGAAGTTTAGTTCTTCTTCCAAGGTATCAGAGCTGCAGATGCGTCGGATGCGAGTGGCAAGACATCTTATTAGGTTTCTTTTTCGACTGATTGGTACCCAACTGTAGAAGCTTGTCAGTTGGCCGTTCCATGTGGGTTTCCTATGGATGGACCTTCTTAAAGTTCCGTCAGCTCTTCTTGTAAGTTCAACATCAAGAAAAGGGGTTTTAGATTCGTTTTCAATTTCAAGAGTGAACTTTGTAGCTGAGTGGCATTTGTTGAATATTTGTAGTAAGTGATTGAGATTGTAACTGTCATCACAGATAATAAACATGTCGTTCACATATCTAACGTACAATTGGAAATTGTCAATAGTTGATTTGAGTGGGCCGTTCTCGAGGCTTGCCATGAAGCAGTCTGCTAGTAATGGGCCCAGTGTTCATAATCATATCGTCAATTTTAATCACACGATCAGGAAACTTGAGTTTCATAGTTTTCCTTGATCTCTCCTATTTGTCGTAGGGGTAGTAAAATAGCAATAATATTAATGACGACACGCATGTCAAACGTGCGCAAGATAATGACAACACCAACAATAAGGAATCTAAATCATCGGTAGTAATTCCATACAAAGAAGGAACTTCGGAAACCATGTTACGCAGAATTCTTAACAATGCAGGCAGGAATAAAAGTGGCTGGCATTCAAACCATCTACAAACTAACCCAATTAGAAAAAAGCTTTGTTGGTTAAAGGATCCTGTGGAACCTTTAAAACAAAACAATTTAGTTTATCTAATACCCTGCCTCCAATGATTTTCAGGTCGAATACATAGGTGAAAGTAGTAGAACAGGGGCAGTCAGACTAGCTGAACATAAAAACCCAGCAAAATTTAGATTAGTCGACCCCAACAGGATAAGAAATCTAGAGAACAGTTCAGCCATACCACTCACTACATGCAATTACACACAACCATACAGTGTAGGATGATGGGATAAGATGACATTTTTAAAATCTAATGTAACAGCAGGGTAGAGGGAGAGATTGATTACAACGGAAGCTTTGTTTATCGAATCAGCTGCAAATACATGTAATAGGAGTGATTCAACACCTGTCCTAAATATCTGGAAAATTCCACTACCCCTACAATAAATAGTAGAGAAGAAGGAAAACTATAAAACTCAAGTTTCGAAGTCGTGTGATTATAATTGATGATATGATTATGAAAAATAAATTTTGTTCGAAACGTCATCCAGTATATAATACTGTTTCCTCACTGTGTAATGCATCTAATAAACAAACTAATATGGAAAGAATTGACTTTATTACTATAAAATAGGAGCAGTCAACTAGAATTTTCCACAGAGAACTATGCACAATAGTATTTTTACTATATTTATTATTCCTCTGGGTTATGAATGGAACGTAGGACTTCAACATCAAATCTCCACTTTGTCCTATTTTCTGCAGTCATCTTTAGCTAACTGAACGATTACGCATAAGCTTTTATCTCCTCCTCACATCACGATCCCCTCTATGTATCACCCTCGAACTCCCACATCACCACTTCTCATTTAGGTCCCAGTTGACAGCCTGGCAGTCGTTATCATTCATCGGTTTCCTCAGTGGGTGTTTAATCCATCACCATTTTCTTCGAGATATTTGTTGAGTAATAGGTTCTTGATTGGTTCGTTCCCAGAATCCCTTACTGCCAATCCTTTCTAGTCAGCCATCTGATCTTCAATATCAAAGGAAGGCAGCTGTTGATAAAAATTTACAGTAGCTAGTTGGAAGTGGTTTTCGTGACCTGACAAGTCTCTGACTCATATAGAAGAAGTGACTAACTTAACGTCGGTGTTGAAGATTCGAATTTTATTCTTTATGCTGAATGCATCAGATTTCCAAAACGATTTCAAAGTGATGAATGTTTCTCTTGCCTTTCCGATTCCGGTTTTCACATCCGCATCTAAGCAAAATATTGCAGCAGTTCGAATAGCCACACTTCACGAAAACAAACACGAAGTGAGTAGAAATTCAAAGAAACTACAGTAAACGGAAATATATATTGGCGAAAGAAATAATTACATGCAGAACAGAGATGATGACTTAATACAGCCAGGAGATCACAAAGAGTGAACGAATCAGCGCCAGTGTAGACAATTTTGAGACATGTTACTAACAGTCAGTCTCAAGCCGTTGGGTCTTAACATTTTGAAAAAGTAGTATATACGGTGAAGTTCAACAATAGCGCATGCTAGTCGTTGGCTAACGGCACCTGTCATTATCATAGCTGAAATATCAACGCACAGAAGGTCACCCGTGCGTTCGCATCCCTTGGGACGCTATTGTTGAACTTTGCTTTATATACCTCACCATGTAGCTGAAACTAACACTCAAAGACATTATACAATAATTACATATGTTAACCAGACCACTCCCGACTATCTTTTCTAAACTCACTCTTATTCTTGAAATAAACAAATTGGAGCATGGTGACTAGCAGTAAAATTCAGAATGTGCACTTCAGCATATTTGGGACTCGTTAGCTAGTGGATGTACCCGCATTCCCTAGTAAGCCAGTGATAGAGTTCCCACTGAGCGTCGAACCCAATACCCATAGTTTCAAAGGTGAAAGCGTTACCCACCAGACCATTTGGGACACAGGAGTCACCTCATGTTTAAAAGGCTTTGGAATTTGAAACTATGGGCACTTGGTTCGAAAATCGGCAGGAACATTATCACTCACTGACTCACTGGGGAACACAGGTACATTCACTGGCCGAAGAGTCCCAAATGGGACGAAATGCGCGTTGTCCTGGATCCCACTGCTAGTCACCATCTACCAATTTACTTCAAGTTAAGTAATTAGGCATCGTTAAAGCATCTGCAGCGCAAGGAGATGACATGTCAACCTGAAGCCGAACACTTCTGTCTAATCAATCAACAGCAATGTCCAAAGTGAATTAAATCATTCCTATTCTGGCTAACATTACTCGACAAAGAAGACACCTGTTTAAAATATGGAGTACACATTTGATGATATTCATATATAAAGAGATTTCTCAGAAATTATACACATATATATATAAAATAGAATCATTTACTTCAAGAACAATGACAACTTTTCCACCAGCAAGTGATTTCAACTCATGTACAAAATGTCCAAATACCATGGGACTGAGCCACATTCTTCCCTGTGTAAAGTAAAAACAAAACCATACAGAGTGATAATTAAATAGTCATGATTGGAAATATTTTATCTCCTGATACAAATACCAATGAAATAAGCAAAAAAGGTGTTAATAAAGAAGCAGAATTTAATGAATTCATTAAAATCTCGGTAGAACTCCTCCTCCTCAGCTGCTGTGAATACTCTACATACAGGGAGTGATATAAAATGAAGTGCATCACTTTACTTAAATAAACTGTTAGTTAGTTATCAGTGAATAATGGAAGAACTTGAATATAAATCAAAAATTGTCAACTAAATAATAATAATAATTTGCTTTATTCCAAAACAGTACTTGTGGTACAGAATGGAATTCTCAGCATTTTTACTACAGTATTGCATCCAGTTAGTACATTATCAATAAATAGAATTCTACATAGATTAAGGAAATCTCAGTTCATTATGACAACAACATATTGGCATGTCGGTAGCAAAGCCAAAGTTGAACACAGTGTTTGAAGGTGTTAGAAAAGTAGGTGCTATTATATTTACGGGCGCAAGTGAGAGAAAGAGACAAAGCAGCACATAACAGAAAAAAGAGAGAGAGAATAGGAAAAGAAAGAAAGAAAATATTGTACCTATAAATGATATGAGTTGGAAAGACGAGGTCCAGTTGTTCTACTGACTATTTAATGAATTATAGGTGTCACGCCTAATGCTTTCTTTATCACACAGAACACGAGCTAAGTAGGGTATGGTTGAGTTCTTGTACTTTCTAGTGCGAGCATATAGTGTTCTATATAGGCTTCTGGTCCTGCCTGATGAGATACAAGGGGAGAGTTGTGAATGAAGAGGGTGATGTGAGTTAGATAAAATGGATTTAGCCCATTTTTCACATGAGTTCATGTGCCTGTCAATCAGAATATTAACAAGCTGGTTAAGTAATAACAATAATAGTAATGTTAGAGTGAGTTGAGATAGTGGTAATGATAAAGGATAGTACTAATACTGCTGCCACCCTTTGTTTGTCATTCTGCTCAAAACGAAAGATAAACTGCCAAGCTGTGCCACTTCTAAACGCATTTATAAGTTTAGCTGCCCCTGTAAAGAAAGCTACTCAGAGTGAACAACTAGATAGGTCAACAAACGCATTATTACTAAGCATTTTCCTTCATGGCTCGGAAAAGGTCAAGTAAAATCTATAAGAAGTTATATTTTGTCTCATATGATTAGGGATATCGGTCACCAAGTAGACCAAAATAGTGCCTTCAAAGTCACCTATAGCATTCCATTGAGCCTTTCGAACGGAATTCGAACCCACCTTTTACACATAACCGAAGCTATGGGAATTAATTCGAGAGAACTATCCTAGTGACTTTGCGTACAACAAAACAAGTTCGTTCTACCTTTGTCTCTCCCTTGGCCTACATAAATTCTAATTAAAACCCTCCCACCCTTTCTTTTTTTTCCATTTTCTTCGTACTTTTATAGTATTTATTTAAACTCCGATTATTTGTCCACCTCACCTTTATTATAATGTAACTTTTAAGATTTGACCTGATTTATTTATTGAATTGTCTACATATACAAACGTATTAATACCTTTGTTATTCTTATCGCCACCTACATAAACCTTATATCACTATTTTGCTATCATTATAATCATCGTTATTACTGACGTTCGAAACGTTTACTACATTACTTTTATTATTATTATTATTATGTGATCCACAAAACCACCATCTTTGCTTAAAATTTTTATAGATAAATCTATGTCAATTAGAGTAAAACCTGAAGAAGATCTAATTGAAAACAACAACAATTTAAGCTACATTATTACGTGAACATGGATAACAGTCTATTGATTTTTTAAAATTCCTTTACGTTCCTAGTGGAACATAGAGGGCTTCAAGCTAGAGGCTTCAAGTTTCGGTAGTAGTGATGTTTATTTTTACGGGATGAGGTTGCTAGCCTCATATGCCCAACCTTCCCTTTTTACCGGTCTTATTACTGGCTTACCGAGGTAAAGGAGCGCGTCAGCCAGGGATCGGACCCCGGACCACGTATGTGATCGGCGAGCATCCTACAGCTGTGCCGCCAAAGCACAGTCTATGACACTTATAATTAATGACGTTATTAAGATGTCCTATAAAAACCAGCCATTAGTGACTCCTGTTTCCCAGACTTATTTGTTTTTCAAAAATGTGCATCCCATTCCTTGTTAAACACATTTAGTTGATAGTGATCAACAGTAGAATCTCTGAGGTCTGTTTCTTCTTAACTGGGAATCATCATTATGGATATAACCGCAACTTCAATGACTGATGGTGTATTCCCACAAGGAAACTCGCATGTAACACCTATGAACCACATATTCTCATTGTAATTTTTTCCAGTAACTTTATTGTACATCCCCGCTGATTGTAGCGTCATAGTTCGTTACCATGGTGGTCTAATAACAAGTTATACTTTCTTTTCTGGCGAACATATTATCGCTGGCATCATATTCTTGTGACCTGCACTACATTTGCTGCATTTTTATCAGAAAATCTGGCTTGATACTGATATCTTCACAATGTTGTGATCGATTAAATGAGGCCGTAGGCACAGAAGTTAAACATGTATTACTGAATTTCCATGAAATCAAACGGATATAACTTTGGCCTATATAGTGAAACGCCCTAATATCTACCCCACCCCCGGATAAAGCAGGTGGCGCCACATTAGAAAAGAGATATGCCGTAAAATCGCCCTAATTTTTTGTTAATTTTTAAGTAAATATCTGTGATTACCTCTGGACAACCGATGGCAGCGTCAAATCCACACGAAATAAGTATCAGTTGGGGATTAAACTGGAAAAATCAAAGAAGAACAAATAAAAAGAAAATTAAAACAATTACTAAAATATTTAGATATTACAAAGAAATTCAGTATTTTAAGCGGAGCTATTAGAAGCTCAATCATTGAACATTTGTTCGATACTGATCATCCAAACTCTACAGCCCCAAACTTTAAACTCATCTACAAAGCGGAAAATAATTTATCCAAATTATTAAGTGCCCGATTCATCTGTACTGCTGAAGCTTTGGTAACTGAAATAGAAAAGACAAATCTCTGTATTCAGATAAAAAATTTATCTCTCCCCCCTCCCCACCAACACGCACGTAACTCTTATGGTTTTAGTCTCTCTATGCTAAAGTATGATATTCCCTATTCATATTTTGGTTCTAAATATTTTTCGTTTTGTTTATTTAGTTTGTATGCCTTTCACTTATTATGTTGATTATAACAATTGTTCTTTTCAATTTGAACTATCTCCAGCATTACTTTACTCGTAACACTTGTCATTATACTATTATTATTATTACTATTATTATTATCTCCTTTAGTTCCTAGAGAAACATAGGGATTCAGCTGCACGTCTCCATTGCGTTCAGTTGTCAAGCAACGTTTTCACCTGGCTCCACGTCTGCCCACACAATTTCATCTCCTCTTCGCATCACCTCATCCTCATCCTTATCCTCCTCCTGCATGTCACCCCATCCTCGCACTGACGACCAACTAACTCGCCGCCTCCCATTTGAGTTCCACTCGAGTAATGGCCTGGTCTGACGTGGCGTGTGATGGATGTCACTCACTTGATGACAGTTTGCTTTCTCAGAGTATGGCCAATCAACCTAACTTCATTTATTCCTGCACATTTGTTGTACACTTAGTTCCTGCTAGGTTGGTTGGTCGGTTGGTTCGTTGGATCCCAGAGATCCCTACCTGTTGTTGATTGATCACTTCTGGCAAGCCATCTGATCTTGAGTAGTATTGAGCCAAGACAGTTGCTGATGAAGGTGTTCAGTTTGTTGGAAGTGACCTTCCTGACGCGGTGCGGTGCAGCACGGCGTGGCACAGCACCAAGTCTCTGATCCGTATAGAGTAGCACTGACTGACTTCACCTTGGAGTTGAAAATCCGGATGTTATTCTCATGCTGAGTGATGAGTGCTGAATGGTGAGTCCTGTTGATTTCCACACAGACTTGTTGCTAGTAATGAAAGCTTAACTTGCTTTCGCGGTCCTCGCTGCTTTAATATCCTCATCAGTCGGTCGGCCTGTAGTTGAAACGGTGCTTCCTAGGTTGGTAGATTGCCAGATCGCTTAGTAGGTAGGTAGGTAGGTAGGTCTGTAGAGGAGGTTGCTTCTTTCAGATTTCTCCCATTCATGCTGGCTGATTGATGTCTGTTGTTGTTGCTGTTGTTGATGTCGCTGTTTCTGTGGACCAGGAGTCCTCATCACCTACATCTGTTTTCTCTATATTAACCTAAAGTCTTTCCTATCTTCCCTGGATGCTTATTCTTCTATCGCCAACTTGTTGCTTTTCACTTGCATATCTTCCAGTTTGTGGGAAATCAGACACATATGAATATCATCATGGGCAAAATCCAGATAGTGCAAGTATTTTGTGTGGGTGCATTTTATGCCTATCTCTTCGTTGCCCGGCCCCGCCCGCTCTCTGTCGCACGACCCAGTCTACAGCCCGTAATCAGGAAATTCATTGGAGACAGTAGGTAGCTAGCCAGTCTTGCCTTACTCTCGTATTCACTACTAACCATATAACTATGTAGCCCCTTCCAACATCTAACACACCTTATGAATTTTTCTATATATCGCAGTAAGTGATTTTCCATCTGACACTTGATCCTTAACTATGATTATAATCACAAATATTTTAATTGCATTTCTAACTATCATTACTTCACATATTCCCATCTTTGTTTCAGTTTCCTCACAGGATATAATTTCTTAAAAACCATATAAATATATATAAACGTCTATGAGCTCTCCTTGGAACCGGGAGGTCCCAATCACCAACCACTGTGACAGGTGCGTACTGATGACGAGTCCCAAACAAGAGTCAAGAAACAGCTGTCCAGTTCTCCCTGTTGGCTTTCCACTTGTTCTCTAACCAATGTCAGCTTACGATGAAATCCTTTAAGAAGTCAAAATCCCAGAAA